TGACCAAAATCTGGCCCATGGGACTGTATCATTTGGCCTGAAGGGCTCCTATGGGTCCAGAACTTTGCAGCAGAGGACCAGTGGCAGTGCTAATTGCCCCTGCTTCTGTTTCTGGGGCGGTTAATATAGTCAGTGTTCATCCTACCACATTTCTGGATCTGTAGGGAGCCCTGCAGGCTGGATCATGTAGCTTTGTATACCAGACTAAGCCAAAAGACCAATCCTGTGTGCCAGATAGGGCTTGCAGACCAATCCCATGCCACTTATCTGGCCCACAGACTGACACTATGCCATTCATCCAGCTCCTCAGGTCAAATGAGTTGAGCGCCCCTGCTGTATAGTTTGCATCCTGATGTTAAGCATGTAGATAGAAAATTTCATTTGAAGATCTAAAAGTATTTCATGGAATTGAAGCATGTTGGATTGAATGCATGCCACATGTACCTTCCCCGCCAGAATCAGCCCTCCCAAATTGTGGTGTGTCTTAAATGGGGAGGCTCTTTTTTTCCTTATGGGAAGAAAGGCAGGGGCAATAGGCAGCCATAAGAGCACAGTGTCTGCTTGTTTAAAAAAGGATGCTGCTTCTCTGTGAGCCTGTAAGCTCAAGGGGCAGAATTCAGTGTTAAATAACCCTCTTACAGTCTGAGCTCTGTTGCTTGTGCCTGAAATGGCAAGTGAGCTGCTGCATCCAGTCTGTAGTATCTTGATGAAGGTGGTGTGGATACATTTTGTTATTTACAGGAATTTATATAAAGAACTATTTACTGTAAAGACATAAAAAAATTACTACAGACTTAGCAAGTGGCAGGGGGCCTTATGTAAGTCCTACTGGAAACATAGGGCATATTAACACATTGCCCTACATTGCCGTAGCAATGCACAATGTCACCATATGGTATGCTATGGTGATGTAGTGATCACATGAGTCTACACATGCCCAGCAGCTACTTCACAGTAGCAGCATGCTCCCCCATTTTAGTGTGCCGCTACAGCGAAGTAACAGCTAAAAGTAACTGTGCGCCACGCTACTTCCAAAAGGAAGTACTAAAGCATGGCACAGTAACAATGTCACCATAGGGCAATATGGAGATGTGCCCACAGCATCCTGGAAACGTGGCATCACAGGAAAGTCCGTGATACCAGGATGTCCCGGAAACCACACTTCCTGAACACTCTATGTTTCCACGAGTACTTTTTGTCACACAGGGCACATCTACACAAGACATCACTGTGGAGTTGCTTAATTAGCTCTGCAGTAAACATCTCAGTGTCTACATGTGTGCCCTATTAGACTGCAGGAAACTAATAAACTGCTCAGCAGGTTAGTACTTGTAAATACAAGTATTATCCTGCTGCAGAGCTTTTTTGTGTGTAGCAGCCCATATGTAGACACTGACCTGGCTGGCTGGGGCAGGAAGGTGCTTCAATGCAGAAGCTGCCTGCCAGCTAGCCACACACTGAAGCACCCTCATGCCCCAACCAGCCCCTCCACAGCATGTTGAGCCAGGTCAGTGCAGCCCTGGGCTGGGTAGCTGACCCCCCAAGCTCTCTGCCAGCCGGGGCTGCTCTGATTTGATTCAACATGCTGCAGTCCCAGGTGCACATGTAAACATGGTGCCTGGGAGCAATAAACTTTGGCATGATAAGCAGTGAAATGTATTGCTTTGCATTAATGTTCACATGTAGACATGCCCAGAGTCAGCCACAACTCTAGAAAAATCTTTTTTTCTACATTCTGCCTTTCAAAAACAAGTTGTGTTTCATATTTGTAGGTGTGTGGCATGTGAGACAATGCAGTAGCTTATGTATAAAATGCTGAATCTAATTTTTAATACTCCCATGAGATGAACATTATTTATTTTTCCCATTTTTCAGACAGATAGATTAAAGCATTTTAGGAGATTAACTGATTAAATAATGCTCCTAAAATGAAGCTTCAGATAGGCAAAAAATGCTTACACATGTACTAAACTCCCACTGACCTCCATGGCATTTTAAGCAGAAGCATAAAAATAAGCGTAAATGTTTTTCTGAATTGGGTCTTGACATAAAAATGGAGCTGGGAATAGTGTAGCAAAAGAAACTTTCTTATAACCTTTTTTTTGCTTTAAGCATTAGGAAACACTGCCACCTTGTAATAAAGAGAAAAATACTATTGCTGTTTGATATGATTATCACACTGTTTGCATTGTAATTCATGAAACTATCATTCGATTCCTTTTAATTGGCTGTCTTTGACCGCACCGTATTACTTTACTGCATACTGCTTGCACAATGTTTTGTGTGATCTAATATTCTTTGTTCAAAACTGCAAAAAATCTAAATAAGGAGTATAGCATGTTGTATCTGTATAGGCATCAGCTAACGTTTTTTATGGCATATGGTACTTCAGAAGCCATATGTACCACTGTTTAGTGATTCTGGCTAAGAGGCACAGAATGGTGAAATCCAACTGCCAGGATTTCTGAAAACAAATATGTAAATGCTCCAGTGCTTTTGTTATTCATAACATACCTCTAACACAGCACATACAATATGCTGTTCATTCTGTAACTAGTACAACTACTAACCCATATTTAATTTAGTTCTCATTTTTAAAGGTTTTTCATAATATCTGAGCTCCTCTCATTACTTTACTTCCTCCTTCATAGCAGTTAATGTTAAATAGTAACTTTAAAACCATTTGAATTAGTAGGGGAGCTTTATCATTTTTATTTGGATTATATGTTTATCTGTTGGTCTAACAATGGAACAAAGCAGCACACTGTTGCAATCAGTCGGGAGCCCTCATTATAACTATGAGTAATGCAATGAAACAAGAAAGGGAAATGACATATATATGATGAAAAATTCTACGCAATGAAATTGGTGAAACTGGGGAATAGTCTTCCAAGGGAAGCTGCTGTTTGGTGCCACTGCTTAGCTCATTTAAAGTTACTGGAAAGAAAAATCTGAAAATTTATTTGGAGAAATGATCATTGTGTTGGAATATATGACTTCAAAGATCTTTTCAAGGGATGGATCAGAGCTGTAAAATTCTAGTCTGAATCTGGAATCTCTTCTGAAGTTGTAGTCCAGTCACTTCCAGAGAAGCAACAGAGATGTAATCCATTGGTGCAGTCAAAGACATTGTCTGGTCTGCTTTCAAAATGGTGCACTGATATTGACACTGGAATCCTTGGTGTAACATTTGGAGCAGCCTGCAGGATTGTGAGGTTATAGTATTGCCAAACCCACTGTGCCAAAAATCAAGAGATGAACTCTTAAAAAATTCAAGAGATTGGCATGTAAATCATGAGCTGATATTTTTTAAGTGTGTGTGCAGGGGAGTTATTTGTGAAAGTGTGGGGGGCTGTGGATGTGTGTGTGGGGTTTGCAGTCTGGGCGGAGAGGGTCCCCACACACCCTGGTAGGATGTAGGGTACTATGGGCCAGGAGTGAGAGGCAGTAGCATGGCTGGGGGAGGCTGTGGCTTGGGAGTAAGAAGCAGACACACAGACACACACAGAGACACAGGCACACAGATAGCACCCAGATGGTAAGTGGAGGGGTAGAGGCGGGGAAAGGGGGTAGATCAAGGCCCCCATGGTGAGGGAGGGAGTGGGGTAGAAGCACGGTCGGGGTGAATGGAGCCCCAGTGCCAGGGCAGGTCATCCAGAGGCATGGGGTGGGGGGAGGGTGTGGATCCTCTCTGCTGTGTGCACCCCCAGGGGAGGTATAGCGGGCATGTGTTGCCCACAGGGCAGAGATGGGCTGCCCACTATGGGCTCGGGGCTCTGCCCTGAGAGCTCAGCCATGCAGCACCACTGTGCTTTCTGCTGCTGGGTGGGCAGAGGACACACTGTGTGGCCAGTGCACCCCATGCCCCCTGCCCACCCAGCGGGTGGCAATGGCATTGCATGGCTGAGCTCCCAGGGCAACAAAGGCAGCAGGGCACAAAGTGCGGGCAGTCCACCTCTGCCCCTCACACAAACCAGGGGTGCGCACTACAGGGCGGAGCTGCACCTGCCCCCACACTCTGGATGAGCTGCCTGCACATGACCCACTCCAGCCTAGGCCCCATTCACCCAAGCCCCTGCCCCACTCCCTCCCTCCATCCTTCACCATGGGGGCCTCAATCTGCCCTCCTGCATGTCCTTTCCCTTTCCCCCTAGCCCCTTCCCCTCCACAGACTTACCAGGTAGCTGCTTTCTACATGTGTCAGAAGGAAAATCCTGAGATTTGAGGGTAGTATCCTGAGATTGCAAGTTAGGCTTAATTTAATTTGGAAATTGGGAGTCTTGCAACTATTTCATGAGAGTTGGCATTACTGAGGTTATAGCAAGCATCAGAGGCACTGTCATTGTTTAGTATGCTGCAGCGTAATGTTTTGTTTGGGTGTAACATATAGGTAGCAAGATAAGCAGTACTAGGAAGAAATACTACCTAGTGGTGACTCCCAATGATATTATGTTTCTCCTCTTATACAAATAGAAGACAACTGATCAAATATATTTTGGATTTTGCTCAAAATCTCTCAGAATTTTGCTATTTAACTTCAAACTTCAGTATTGAAATTTTGACTTTATCACAGATGTTCATAAATTCTTGTTTGGTCAGCTTGGATGCAATCATGATTGCCTGTGTCTTTTGTTTCTTTTATCTAGGTTGTATCTACATAGCTGTAGCAGTGTCCCCTAGCCCCTGCTACATGAAGATTGGGAAACCAGCACCAAAGAGTTACAATCAGGTAGGTAGTTGAACAAGAGTCAGCTGCAAAGTAAGCAACCAGGGGAAGCCACAGTTAGGAGTTAAAGTGCAATGCGGGGACTACAGGAGTGCTAGCTGCATGGGCATAGGCAGAAAGAGCTCCAGGCAGGTAAGAGGGAAATGATTGCAGCTCAGTGATTGCAGTAAACCAAAGCAAACTGAGTATTGGGCTGATTGGAAACCCCTGGGCAAGGTGGAGTCATGTGATCAAAAGGGATGGTGCTCCAGAATACTAAAAGCCTGGCTCCTAAGCTAAAGAGCTCTGTTTCTGCCTTTTGTTGAAGGTGGATCCTATACTGTGAAGGAAGGGACACCAGGCAACACAGGTACCTAGAGAAACTGCTGAGAGACAGTAGCTATAGTAGGAAAGGAGTTTGCTTGAAACCCAGGAGGGGTTTATCTTTGATTGCTAGCTGGCATAACACTAGAGATTTGGGTAGTGGCTATACGGGTGGGTGGGTGGGCCTGGAGGCACCATGCAAGTAGAAGAGGTGAGGGCTAGAAAGAGAGTAAGTGAGCCCTGAAAAGACTTGGGATCTGGTGGGCTGTGTGGGGCTGAAGCTAAGCAGTGGGAGATAACAGCTCTGTGGAGTCAGGGGTTTGGGGTGGGCTGAACCTACTACAGGGCCAGGGGCCCAGTGTGAGAGAGGCAGGGTAGACTAGAGCCAAAGGGCCAGGGGCCCAGTGTGAGAGAGGCAGGGGAGACTAGAGGCAGGGAGCCTGGAGCATGAGAGGGCAGTGCTAGAGGACTAGGTGCCCAAGAGGGCAGAGTAACATCTGTGAGGCATAGGTGTGGCTATGGGAGTAGCAAAGGGCCATGATTGTAGCCCATAAGGTAGTTAAAGCCAGCAAGGTCTGAGTCCTTGACAGAGGCTGTGTACCTTAGGGTTAGAGCCCCGAGTCAAGTGGGCCAAGACTGGGAGAAAAGAGGAGCCCTGTTCAGGGCAGAGCTGAGCTTGAGGAGGAGCAGAACTAGGCGGAAGGCCCGGAGTGCATTGGCCTTGGAAGGCAGTCTTGCCAATTGTAATTGCTTTAAGGAAAAGCAGTAGGGTGAGACTCTGAGAGGCCAGTGCAGGCAGGGCTACTACTCTGACATAATGTAGTGTTGTTTGGAGATGCCTGAGCTAGTTCAGGCAGTAGAAGCAGCATGAATTGTATTGGTGCAGAGCTCTACCTGAGCTACTCTTCTATTTTTGAGGGCAATGTGTTATGTGACTACATCCATGGCCTCTGACAATAGAAAGTGCATGTATGATTATAGGTGTTACAATATATTCCTGCTAAACACAGGAAAACTATAAACCAAATTCACTGGGTCAAAATGAATTCTCTGCAACTTGATGGATTTCTGCGTTAAATCAAAATGATCTTCCACTTCCAATCTTTTCTAGGTAAGAACATAGTTCTTACATGGTTGATCAGGGCTAAGAAACATGTCCCAAATGGATGACCTGTCCCTGCTGACTTCTATGACTGCAGAATCATGAATTCTTTCTCTTTAATAATCTTATCCCCCACAACTGTCATCCATCATTAACAAAAAGGCTTTTGCTTTGGGCAGCCAGCTATGATAAGTTCCCTAGAGATCTACTGTACTGGAAGCTTTTTTTGTGGGGGAAATAATAGCAGGTAGAACCAAGCTTAATTAGTTCCTCCAAGCTGAGACTGGAAATAAGAGATCGGGTCTGAAGAGCATGTGGAACACTTAAAGGTTAATTAAGACCTGCTTATTCAGAAGTCCAGTAGATGTTGTGCATAAAATGTTTAAAACTGAAGCAGGGCCTGGAACCTAGGTATACCCCTTCCCAAGTGAGTTTGCTAGGCAACACCAATTATTCTAACTTTTGCATGGTGTGTGGTTTGTGTGTGTTTTTTTTCACTCTTCTGGCCCAAACAATGTTTAAATTCTTTTCTGCAAAGTGGTACAACTTGACAAGAAAAGTGGAGAGTTTCTTCTCTGCCACTTGCTTTTAAAATTAACCTGTAGCCTGGTGGTTTGGGCAGGAAGCAGGAGATGTGGGTGTGATTTCCTTTGGGCACAGGAGGAAATAGAACTTGCATCCTCTACATCTGGGGTGAGTGTTCTAATGACTATCTCCCCAGATGGGGGTTGCTAACGTTGTTGTCCCTACCCCCAACTCTGGGGCCAAGGACAGAATGGACTGAGTGAGCACCACATCCCTATGCTGGAAAGGGGAGGGGCCTAGCTAAGCTACAGGCTCTATAAAGACTGGGCTGCCTTGGGTCATCCTTTAGCATTATTCTTTGGGGGGGGGAGAGAGAGAGAGAGAGAATGAAAAGGGAGTGGATGTGGGTTGGGATGGAATATGGAGAAATAATGGTTTGTTTGTTTGTTTTCTTTGATGGAGATGAAGAATGAAGCTGGAAGGTGAGGCTGGTATGGGCCAGGGGCTCCATCGGGTCAAAAGTGGGTGAGTAGATTGGAGTGAGGTGTGATGGATTGCTTTTGAATTTGAAGTTTTGGAGGAGGAGTTTTTCTGATTTTATAATATTCTAGTCGGTGTTTTATATGCTACTTTGTCTCTTATTGGGTGAAATTATTTGCCTTTTTTATTAGATGGGTGTAAAAACAACAAACATGAAGCTCCATTCTTGGTGTGGCTTCCTTGAAACCCTAAGGTTGTGCAGAGAGCAAAGACTCAATAGCAGCTTTTAGTTCTGTGATGTTATTGACTGACCTATGTAAACCAAGTATATTTGAAAATATACTTAGAAAATCAAGGAAGCGTTTTTACAAAACTTGGATGAAAAATCCTTTTTATTATAACTTGAAAGCTTTTGGAAATCACAATTACTTTTCTGAAAAATGTTTTCATGAAAACGTCCCCATCTTCCATTGAAAGCTTTGTATTTTTTTTTTTTTAAAGCCCTCTCCAGACATAACAACAAAATAGGCCATCATATGACTCATTCTTAAGATGTCAACACCTGGAACTTCCTTTCCTGATCTGCATTTAACCGCAGTATTGTACAACACATTATATTATACCATGGACTGATCTTAATGGTGCTGCTGCAGGCTTTTTTTTCTATAGTTATCTTCAAATACTGGAGGTCAGACACTGCTGTAACTATTCTGCTACCTGGATGTAGCTGTTCATATTTGAATGCTTTTGCATGCAAATCCATGGTAATAAGCTGTGCATATATCAAAGAAGTGCAAGAGGTCTAGACTCGTAAACCACTGGCTTCTCCTTTCATGCTACTGTAAAACAAGACTCTGCTTCTCTCCATTTAAAGTCAAGAGAATTATACCAGGTAAAGCTGAAGGTAGGGAACCCCAGCAAAATGTACTGAATAAATAGACAAGAATGAAATACCTGCAGGCCTTTGTTACTAATCTCTCTTCCAAATAGAGCTGAGTGGTTTCATTTCTAAGTTCTCTTGCCTTGCTGTCAAAACACGAGGTCCTTATGGAACTTTCACTCACTCCAATAAACACTTACCCATACAAGTAGTCACATGGATGTCAGAGTTGTTCTAGTACCATTGATACTTACCTGCTTCTGAGGAGGGAATACACGTTAACAAGGGAATGATTTGCTAAGAATCTGTTGCTATCTGCAATCTGTTCTGCCAGCACATGGCAACAAAATGGGTTAGGATTAGGAATAATGTGGTGTGGGGGGGGGGAAACAAAGTGATGTCACATCAGAATAAAGTAAACAAATGCATTGAAGAACACCGGCAGAGGAAGTCATGATTGAGTCCCCTAATGCAGTATGAAACAGTCATGAAACAAATGCAAGACCTTTTTTTTTAAAGGAAGTGATAAGAAATGTCTGGGGCAAGAAAAAAATCCCCAAGCATTTCCTGCCTGAAAGCAAACATCATGAACAAAGATGAAACAAAAATAGACTAATAAACAATATGTCTTACATTCTACAACATGAATGAGCTAAACCACAATCATAAGAGGAAAAGAAAATAAAGACAAAGGAGGGTGAAAACAGGAGCAAAGTAAACTAGCAAGTGTGTAGCTACCTGATAAAATGCACTGTACTAAGGGAAGATGGCTAAAGAGAGCATTTTAAAAGAACCACACCTTGTATATTGGTGTATATGGTAAACAAGAGGCATTGTCATGTAAGATTTACTTATGCAGGTAGTAAAGGACTAGTCCTAGGCTAGCTGATGACTTAAGAATAAAGAAGGACTGTTAATAAAGGTGGCAGGATCGAAATACAACTGATTCACCTCAGGGGTGTCTCTTACAAAGGATAAATATACGTGGCAATTGTTGCTTGCACTTAAGGGAACAAGTTTGACAATGCTTCTAGTTGGCTGTGTGGCTGTTGCAGTTACAAACATATGGGGGTTCCTAAAGAGGTGAGTTACAGTTGCTGGTGCATCTGGGTCATACTGGATAACACCTGCACCATGATAATAAATAAATAAATAATGCAGGATGGGGAGATGTAAAGAACAGCACATACAGTAATGACCCAAGATAATGTTTACCCAACACTTACCTAATGCACTAAGGGTAAAAAAGGCTCTGCATTTTGGATGGTGTCCCAATGAACTGCCTTGTTTTCTCTTTCACATCTTTCACTAGGGGCATGCATGTGAAAGTAGATGGCCTGGCATGACCTTTCTTAACACACAATACACAGACTATGTCCATGACTTGCCTCCCGTACAAGAGATTTTCTGTGGCAGAGAAAATGGCAAAGAATTTAATGTGGAGGCTGCTTTCTTATCTCGGTCCTTTGTAAATGAAGCATTAAGGGTGGAAACAGACATTCCCTTTAGTTGCCTCTGTGCCACCATAAAAAATTTTCTGGTGGCACAAAGGTCAAGCAAACAGATGTCCGCATCTCTTGTTGCATTGGGCTTACAAAGGTGGTATCAGTTCGTACACCTATTTAGCAGCAGGTGTTTGTTTACTTTCTGGCAGGAGGGCACTGGCAGCCTGGAGCTGCCCAGACTCTCCAGGCAGGTGCTCCAGGGTTTGAGGGCCCCAATATCATCTCTTAAATCCTGGAAATACCTGCCTAGTTTTACAGAAGAAGTATATGCTGCATGTAGTCAGCATTGCAACTAGCTGTTGGGAAGAAAGAAAAAGTTTTAGGCTAGAAATAGACGCCACCAAATAAAGTGGATTATCTGTGATGGGATGTATCCTAGCACAGCTGCTTTGCTTGGATAGGTAAAACCTGATTTGTCCTCTAAATTAATCCTGTGGGATAATGGGTGACACGTTCTCCCAGAGCTTGAGGGGTCCTGGCCTGTGTACCGTGGTAACTCCCATGCAGTAGGGACGCCCGTGGGATTTCCAGGGTGCATCTCTAGAAGCAGGGAAGCCCTGACTTTACCTACTTATGGTGATGCACCCTGGAAATCCTGGGGGCATGTTTCTGGAAGTGGGGAAACCCTGACTTTCCCTGCTTATGGACATGCATCCTGCCAATTCTCAGGTGCATGTTTCTGCAAGCAGGAAAGCCAGGCAGACATTCCCATGATTTGAGGGGCCTGATATTGCATGTGAATTCCCAGCATATGCAGGCCTGGGCCCCTTAATCCCTGGGAGAACATATTGTCCTTTTTTCTGCATGATTAATGGGTAGGACAACATGCTATGTGTGTTTCACCCAGTGAAGTGGATCAGCTGTGCTAGGGCATATCCCATCACAGCTGATCCACTTTATTTGGTGATATCTATTTCTAGACTAAGACTTTCCTTCTTCCCAGAAGATAATTGTGATGCCGGTTACATGCAACCTGTGCTTATTCTATAAAATCCAGATTAGATTTGAAGTCCAGTCTCCTATATTTTCATGGAGTTGGCTAAGAGAATCTTGTGAGTTTGCATGTTGTTTTTACACCTAAGATTTTAACACATTTCGCATGTGATTCTTTCTGTTTTTGTTGCAAACCCAACTCTCTTCATTTGTAGCTGGGGACACAGACTATCTAATTTTAGTTCCTTATGCTGCCATAGGCTTCCTGGGTTATCTGGGGCAAAGCACCATAATTAATATTTCTGCATTTCAGCTATCCATCAGTGTAGTAGGGGTAGTAGTTCCTTCCCTCCTAGGGATGTTGTGAGAGTAGTTTTTTATTAATGTGTATGGGGCACTCACAGGCCCAATACATTAATGTGTATGGGGCCTACAAATTGTCCCTGGGGTTCTCAAAGAAGACTGCACTCAAGTATGTCCCATCCATCTGCTCCTACTCACATGTGCCAGACCTGAAATGCAGTGGTAAAGTTGGTTTAGGAACTTTCCCATGGCTACTCTACAAACTATGGACACCTCCAGAGTGGCTTCAGCCCTATATTTCTGGGTTTTCTAGGTGCAAGCAGGAGCAGGTGGGTGGAACGTTCTCAAAAGCTTCCTTTGCAAGAGTGCTGAGGATGTGGTGTAAAGGTATCCTCAGGTACTATGGTGGAGTAAGTTGTATGAAGACCGAGAGAGAGAACTCCAATATTTGTTCCTTGCAAAGTGAATGAATTCATTCCATTCTGCATTTTTTTTCCTTTTGCTAGCTGTCGTGGATTATCCTTTTCCTTTCTGGTCTATCTCGCCTTCCTTTCAAGTTTTGACTACCTCCTAATAGAGAGGTGTTTATGGAGGGTAAGAGGAAATATATCTAATGGCCAAGCACTTGCTGTAAACCTGGAAGTGGAAAAAAGAACAACGAAAAAAATCCTCTCTCTTGTATATGTTCTTTTTCACAAAAATAAAATAGGTGGCTCTTCCTTTCCTTGCGTGAAATTTCCCATGAACAGACAAAGTGTCCATGAGAGCAAATTTGACCAAACATATATTTAAATAAACTTTTGATGAACCAATTAAGTCCACAGATGTTCAGCCATTTGTATTGACTGTTTTGTAGCCTGGGTGGTACATGGCTGGCACCCCCTCTTGAACTGAAGGGATGTTAGAGGGCATGAATGTGGTGTGGGAGCATGACTGCCTAGCTTTGGGCTAGCTCACCTCCCTTCCCTGCAGAGCAGAGATCAGGGACACCCACTGATACTTAACTATTTACAGATTTAATTTACAGTGCAGTATCAATAAAACTTATTAAACATGTACACATATATACTATTTACAGATGTAAGTTTACAAAGACAGTAACTCTTATTAAACATATACCCAGGCAATCTCAGATGGATATAGTGCCTTTGTCTGCCATACTACCATAGGTCTTGACCCTCAGTGGTCTTTTAGTTACTGTTTTCCCCCTACCCTCAGCGGGTCCTCCAGGTAGCAGGCAAGGGAACAATCAACGGTAAAACACAAATTAAACAATAGGTCAGCAGATGAAACCTCACAGGGATAAAACAATGGTCTAAACATACATAAGTGAGATTACATTAATAAAATTCAATACATTAGGATAACAAACATAATGAAAGCAAATATTGAATAAGGGATGCTCTAGCAGGCCCCTAAGCAACTGATCCACTAGCAGGCAGAACAAGGCAGTTCATAAGCATCTTGTAATACAGCATTACAGTATGCAAGTTTACAGTGAAGGTCCCAACCATATAAGGAACAAGAACGACAACAATGGTACAGCAATTGTGCCCAAAGGGAAGGAATAATGCCAGGGGAAAAAGTACAGGTTGCCATAAAGAAACACTGTCACCTACCCCTAGCCCCCATGACTAGAATGGTTCAGTGACCACGAAGCCACCCCTTGATGAACAGGGCCCTTAACTCCTGCCTGCCACAAAGGGGTCTACCCCCACCCCCCCAGCCCCTGTGTGGGGCTTCTCTTTGATCACCAAAAGGGGAGGGACCTGTGGAAATCCTTGTTTCTTCCCCCTCCTTGGAGCTGCAATTCTCTTCCTAGGTAATTCATTACTCCCAGCAGTTTTGGTGGGCTTAGCTTGTCTCTCTCTTGGTAGGTTGGCTGTGGAGGCTCTCTTGCTTGCTGGGATGGTGTCTCTGTTCTGCTGCCGCTTGCTGCAGAAAGGCCCGAGCTGCCTTGTGCACCCACCTGGCCTGTCACCACTCTGTGCACTGAGGGACTCCATGCAGGGATGAGGATCTGCACTACCTTGTGCAGCCACAGCTCCATCCAGGCCCCGTGTACCACTCTGTGTACTGTGGGGCTCCCTCCCAGCTCCATGCACCGTGGGGCTCCTGCCGCTTGCAGGGATGGGGACCGGTTTTGCTTTGTACAGCTGCAGGGTCCTTTCAGCTTCCTCCCAGGCACCATTCTGTACACAGTGAAGCTCATGCTTCTTGTAGGGAGGGGAAACCTGCACTGTCTCATAAAGCCATGAGGTCCCTTC